GAGGAAATAGTAGTAACAAGCCCCTAAGGGTCCAAACAGTCGGCACAAGGCCCAAACACGGCATTCAGCCCCAAACATAGTAATACTTTTCAAAACACAATAATATCAAACAGTTTTCAATCAAATACATGACTTAATAGTCGTACAGGATGGACCAAGTCACATTCCCCAATGGTGCATGACCCCACGCTCATCATTTAGCATGTGAGTCACCTCAAAATAGCACAACGATGTAAAATCCGGAGTTTCATACCCTCAGGACAATATTTACAATCATTACTTACCTCAATCTGGTCCAAACTCTAGCCCGCGATGCCTTTGCCTCTCGAATTGGCCTCTGGATGCTCCGAATCTAGCCATAACAATACAATACAATCAACACGAGCTAAAGGAATCAATCCCATAAGGAAATGCTAAGCTTAAGGCCAAAAGTCAAAAAGTCAACTCAAAAGACGGGCACCAGGCCCACGTCTCGAAACCCGACCAAAGTCTCAACATCCGACAACCCATTCAATTATGAGACTATCCATACTAGTTTCACTCAATTCAGACTCCGAATCGGCTTTCCAATCCCAAAAATTCATTTCATGAAGTTCCACAATTTTTCCCAAATTGTCATCCCAAATCTCTACTCAAATGATGAATCCAATGTTAGAATCATGTATTTTAGCCAAAATTGAGTTTGAATCACTTAGCCCGATGATTTTCATGAAAATCCCTCGAAAATTTGCAAAAGCCCGAGCTATGTAGGTCAAAATATAAAATAAAACCCCAAATCTCGTATTTATAGTGCACCTCTCGGATTCTCATCACCGCTGACTGCGGAAAATCACCGGTGACCGCGGTTTTGGTGGCTGCACAGACAGTCCTTAGTATATTTGCAGTAACCTTCTCTACAGATTTCCAAATTGTGATTTCTTTCTCTTTCTGAAAACTAGACATGAAGGGCTACAACTTTCGTTTTTGAATCATCTCAAATTCCTTGTAGATCAAAAGATATAGGCTTCCGAAGTCGGACCAACGAACTTGCAGATTCTCCCCTGGACCGCCTCAGCGCTCATTTTTCCACCTCGGCGGAAAAACTTCCGCCCCAGCGGTAGATTTAAGCACTAGAACCATTGCCTGATTTCCGGTAATGCCCGGATTCGCTCAAAACGCACCCGAAACACACCCGAGGCGCTCGATACCTCAACTAAACATTCCAACACATCCCATAACATCATTCAAACTTGTTTCAACCTTCGGGACGCTCAAAACAACATCAAAACATCAAATCACCCTCGGATTCAAGCCTAAGGATTCCAAAACATCCCAATTCCGAATTCAATGAAAAAGTCTATCAAACCTCGTCCGAATGACCTGAAATTTTGCACACACATCCCAAATGACACAACGGACCTACTCCAACTTCCGGAATTCAATTCCGACCCTGATATCAAAATTTCTACTACCAACCGGAAAGCGCCAAACTTCCAATTTCGCCAATTCAAGCCTAAATCTTCCACGGACCTCCAAAGCACATTCCGATCATGCCCCTAAGTCCCAAATAACCTAACGAAGCTACCCGAACAATCAAAATTCACATCTGAGGCCTTCTACCCATAAGTCAATATCCGGTTAACTTTTCCAACTTAAGCTTACTCAAAAGAGACTAAGTGTCTCATTACTCTACAAAACCACTCCGAACCTGAACCAACCAACCCGATAGCACATAATACAGCTGAAAAACATAAAGAAGCAGAAATGGGAGAAACAAAGCGGTAACTCATGAAACGACTGGTCGAGTCGTTACAAATACGCATATGCATGATACTATAAGTATTTAATGATTTACAGAGTTATCCAAACTTACAGGTTGAGTCATTTACTCTATATTTTTTCCATGTCTTTTATGTACTTATTTATGTGCCTTACATACTTGGTACATTATTCGTACTGACGCCCTTTTGCCTGGGGCCGCTGCGTTTCATGCCCGCAGATCCCAATAGACAGGTCGAGAGCCCTCCAAGTAGGCTATCAGCTAAGCGGAAGATGTTGGTGTGCTCCATTTGCTTCAGAGTTTCTTGTTTGGTTGGTATGATTTAGACGTGTATTGTTTGGTATGGCGAGACTCTGTCCCGACCTTTATGAATATTATGTATTCTTAGAGGCTTGTAGACAGATGTCGTGTAAAGATTGTATGGCCTTGTCAGCCTATGTTCACTGTACGAGTGGTTATTTTGGTCTTATAGGCCCGTATGTCTTATGTATAAGTCAGTATCAAATATTGTATTCTACTTATCTCACGGTAGCCTTCCTACTTAGTTATCTTTGACAGTATGACATGAAAATATACGTTATGTTGGTACTCGATTGAGTAAGGTACGGTTGCCCGTCGCGGCCCATTGGTTTGGGTCGTGACGGTCAATGTTGTTATGAGGTGTGACGAGGGCACATGATGCCAAGTGTTAGGGGTTCAGGTATTGAGACTCGTATTGTATGATTACGAGATAAGGTGTCACAGGATGACTTATATTCGAAGGTTATTATTTGAAATGATTATATTCGAAAAGTATTTATTTTGAAAGAACTATGTTTGAAAGATATTTATTTGAAGGAAGTATATTCCAAAATATCTTTATTGGAAATGATTATATTTCTAAAAATTTCTATTCAAAAACTTAGGTGAAAGATTTATACTTGAAGGTTTGGACTAATTGATTGGAGTTTGTTGGCTAAGACCTGATATGAAAACTATCGTAGTTGCTGAGTTATTACTTGTCTTTACTGTATTCATGATTTTGGATTTGGGTTGTGTTTCCGTTCACTCTTATGTGTCCTTATTATGGTGTTCCGCTGTATTTGTTGTTCTTTTCCTTATTGCAATTACCGTATTGTTAGCCATATCGCATAGTCTACAGGTAGAAATCATGCATTGTTGTTCCTATACTTATATTTGTTTTGTTTATTAGACCAGCGGGTGTCTTGACTTTTCCTCGTCACTACTCCACCGAGGTTAGTCTTGATACTTACTGGGCACCACTGTGGTATGCTCATACTACACTACTGTACATTTTTTTTATACAGATCCAGGTATTGATCGTCAGTAGTTGCGCGGATTCTTGCCGAAGCAACTCAAGGAAATCCTGTTGCTGCGTTCGTAGGTTTCGGAGTCACCTTCCTATTTTGTATTCACAGTGTTGTATTTTTTTTCATACAATTATCTTTAGAAGTTGTAGCAAAAACACTATAGAGCTTATGACTTGTACCGCCGGTTTTGGGAAGATGTAATTCTATAAAGATTACTATGTTGAGACTGTTAGACTTTCTTTATTATGGTTGATATCAGTAAGTGTTAGGCTTACCTAGTCCCTAAGACTAGGTGCCATCACGAAACCCAACGGAGGAGAAATTTTATCGTGACAAGTTGGTATCAGAGCTCTAGGTTTCTAGGTGCTACGAGTCATAAGTGAGTTTAGAAGAGTCTTGCGGATCGGTACTTAGACGTTTGTACTTATCTTCGAGAGGCTGCAGAACTATTAGGACAATCTCACTTTTTTTATTCCTATCGTGCGAGTTCATTGATCTCGATGTTTGAACTTTTATCTTCGTCAGATTTAGTGATTTGGCCAGACATGCACTTGCCTTGGTTGCTACAGTTAGAGAGCGAGTCTGTAGATTCATTGAGGGGCTCAGGCATGATATTCAGTTCAGCATGGCTCGGGCATTAGAGTTAAGTGTTTTGTTTCAGCAGGTGGTAGGGATCGCTCGCCGGTTAGATGGCATGTGGGACCGAGGGCGAGAGGATATCGAGATTAGGAGAGAGAGTACAGGGAGTCGAGGGGGCCTCATAGACCAGAGAGATCTGCTGGTCCTTATTTTGGAGGCAGCGCGCGACATGGTAGAGATTTTGTGGGTCAGCCAGTTCAGTTTGCGCTTCAGGCTTTCGCACAGTGATTCAGGTGTTCATGGGTCTCAAAGTACCCGTACCGCACAGTTCCCACAGCCACGTCAGCAGAAGGGTTGCTTTGAGTGTGGAGATACTAGCCACATGGTGATAGATTGTCCCAAGTCTCGGACAGATGTATCACAGCAAGGTATTAGGGAGTAAAGGGCACCCAAGAGGGTGAGTCCCAGCCCGTTGATGTGATTCATATAGTAGGCTTGAGGCCGCTGCGCCAGATGATGTCATATAGGTATGATTTTGGTTTGTTATAGACGAGCAACATCCGTATTTCATTTCAGTTTTGCTAATCGAGGTGAGTTCCCCTGTTTGTTACTCCAGTTATGGGTGCGTTTCCACTACTACAAAAAAGACCTTTAGCGGCAATACAAAACGGCTTTAGCGGCAATAACTATAGCCGCTATATCTTTTACCAGCCATTAGTGTTTTGCCGCTAGTGCCGGGGTCGGCAAAGCCTTTAGCGGCTTTTGTCGCAAACGCTGGTAAAAGGTATGATTTATTGCCGCTAAAAGTTATTATCTTTAATGGCAATTGTTTGCGGCAATTATAATGGCTACTGAATCCAATCCAAAGCGGCCAACTATACTTCTTTAGCAGCTATTTTTATAGCCGCTACATTCAAACTAATTGCCGCTAAACGTTCGTATCTCTAACGGCAATTGTTTGTGGCAATTATAATGGCTACTAAATCCAATCCAAACGGCTAATTATACTTCTTTACCATCCATTTTTATAGCCACTAAGTTAAAAATAATTGCCGCTAAACGTTCGCATCTCTAGTGGCAATTGTTTATGGCAATTATAATGGCTACTAAATCCAATCCAAACGGCTAATTATACTTATTTACCATCCATTTTTATAGCCGCCAAATTCAAAATAATTGTCGCTAAAAAAATTTCATCTTTAACGGCAATTAGTTTGCCCTTTCAGCGTCCATTTTAATAGCTAATATGTTTAACTAAATTGCCGCTAAAAATCAATATCTTTAAAAGTCACTAGCGATAATATCAATAATTTGGCGACAATTAATAATAGTTACTACATTTGTATAAAATATGACCCAAATAATAAAATATATTAATATTAATTCAAAAAAATGTAATATATCTCATTAAATCTTAACAAACAAAAGGAAGTACTAATTAAAAATATTAATATCATCGTAACTTAAAACATAAAAATATATTGTTTGGACTAAATAGCTAATGTCATCATAGTAATAATCCAGAATGATGGTCTTCAAATGATTTTCGCAACTTCTCATCATTTTGAAATCTTCCAACTGCTAAATTATCGAACATCAAACTGTATGACCTGAAATTATAAAATAATTGTGTTAAAGGATAAAGTATAATATTGAAAAAACATCTTGAAGATTCCATCGCTGTTAGATACTTTGTCAGTCAAACACTGCAGGCATTGAGGAAGTCTCAAGAATTTGAGTACAGACTTGCTGAGGAAAAGCTTTTTGCTCAAAAGAACTATATCATGAATCTATACGAACAGCTTGACAAGAAAAGATCAGATCTATCAAGTCCTACATCAATGGTTGAAACAGATACCTTACTTGATGTTGTCCTGAAAAGAGTAGACCAAATAAAGTGAGAAATTTCGAAACTGAAGGACATGAAACAAGTGCAAAATGGATTTGGAAGAACTTCGAAGCAAATACTCAAGGATTACTTTGGTCTAGAAACAAAATCGTCTTAAGCAAGCTCTGCCCTTTGTATCTACAACAAATACGCTAACATCTATAAGCAGAAACAACTGCATTCTTTTGATCGTGCATAATGAAGAATCATAATCTTAACATAACGAAGAACCTGGTCAAGCTTCAGCTATTATTTGAACATCAATGTTCCAGAGAGATACAAGTTACACAACCAAACAAAATGTTCCAGATTTCACGAATCATAAATCAACAAATAGAACAGATTTGATTGCAGCTGTTACTCAAAATTTGGCTGCTACAGCTGTTACTCAAAATTTGGGGGAAACAGAGGTTGTTAAGGAGCATGTTGGAAATCTGCAACAACATAAGGAAGGTGCAGATCTTTTTAAATCAGTAAAACCAGCAGCTAAGGGTGATGTACCTACTACTACAGCACTCTCGAGGTTGTACAAGGCTGTGAATTCAGCTATACAACCTAATACTATGTTTTCAATAGGCACAAGGAGCTACTGTTAAAAAAATTTCAAGCACGAGGAAAAGAGATAAAGACAACAGAGCTAACTTAAGCATTTGTAAAGTTAAGCACCAAGTTAAGCATTTGTAAATGAATAACACAAATCTTAAGTATCTAGTAGTGCTAGTGTCAAGAAGGAAACTCCAGGCTCTTTATCTATCTAAGGTAGGTTAAAACCTGTTGATAACTTACATTATTCTGACATGCTGGAATATGAGACATGATGGCATAGAGCCATGTATTTGCACTTGTGCAACTGCATAGGAAGTTGGTCTGTAGCAATCAATGATCAAGAGATATAACTGCTATTACAATAATTATTCAACATTCCAGTCCCAGCATCTTCAATGCAAAAGAAATTTACTAGGAACAATGTCCAGTTGTAATTTTGGGCTTCCAAAATGCAATAGGTGATCAATTGCTAAATCAAACGGGTCAAGAAAATAGTGTCGCTACTCACAAGCTAAGGTTGGAACAGTTTTTTACACGTAAAAGGTAACAAACTTATTACATTTCACCTCATCCTCTTCCTTCTTTGGTCTTAAAGTGATTTTTCAAAGTGAAACTTAGGACTAAAGATGTTAGTGTTACTCCGTTCCAATTTATCTGATACTCTTCTCAATTTGAAATGTTCCAGAATATTTGTCACAGTTCCTCTTCTAAAAATCTGTCGTAACTTTCAAGAATTAAGAAATTCACGCATCCAATCAAAATTTGAATTTTGATGTGATGTTTTCTCTATAAACCTATCCTTCAACCATTACTGTGATATTTTTCTTCTACCATCACTGATATGATGTCTCATATTTCGAAACTGAAGGACATGAAACAAGTGCAAAATGGATTTGGAAGAACTTCGAAGCAAATACTCAAGGATTACTTTGGTCTAGAAACAGAATCGTCTTAAGCAAGCTCTGCCCTTTGTATCTACAACAAATACGCTAACATCTATAAGCAGAAACAACTACATTCTTTTGATCGTGCATAACGAAGAATTAAAATCTTAACATAACGAAGAACCTGGTCAAGCTTCAGCTATTATTTGAACATCAATGTTCCAGAGACATACAAGTTGCACAACCAAACAAAATGTTCCAGATTTCACGAATCATAAATCAACCAGTAGAACAGATTTGATTGCAGCTGTTACTCACAACCTTTGCGACATCAACATCAGTGAAAATTATCTAAAGCAAGAAGCATCCAAGGAAAGTCCAAATACAACAACAAATTAATAAAAATCGAAGGAGGAAAACTCAAACAGTAGCGACGAAGGACAAAGATGAGCAGTACCATGAGAAGGTTGAGCATTTTCAGCAACACTAGGCATTCTTGATATTTGTGGTACTCGTTCATATCCACTATTGGCGTCGGGGATCTAATAAATATTAGCATATTAATTAACAATACTTTTATATGATTAGAATTTCAATTAAAATATCTAAAGTTTATTAAATGGAGTTACCTCTTCACCCAAGGTGCCATTGCTGCTTTGAGGCATAGATGCATTAGGAGCATATTTGCGCATTAATTATCTCATTTGGAGTAATTCTGATTGCATATTCTCCTGATTTTGTTTCATAATATTCATTTTATTATTTTGTTTCTCCTTTAACTCGATTATGTGTTGTTCTAACCTTTGTATAACCTCATTAGAAGAATCATCTGCAACAATATTTCCTAAGGAAGACCTACTACCCCATAGAACAGAAGGAGTTGGACCAAGCCCTAAACCACGAACATACCCATTTTTTTCATTTCCCAACACCTGGGAATACACATCGCCTTTCCAAGCAACACTACGAGGAGGTTGCTTAGTAGATCTCTCACTATTGCTCATCTTTTCATTTATCATTTCCTGACCATAGAATACACAATAAATCCACTTTGGAATTCATAAATAGGAAAAAATGCACATTGTTTGACAGAGTCATGAAACCAAAAAATAAAGAAAGAATAAATCTTACGATTATCTTTACAGAATCATCATCTAGTGGCCTACCATCCTTACGTTTTTTATGAGTTAATAGGAAAATTTCTGCTCGTGTAGGCTCTATCCCGTTTACAGCCTAATACAATAAAAATGATATCGTATATGTTTTCATGACAAAAAAAGGTTAAAATATTATAGTTTGTAGTATTCACAGGTTTACCTGCTCATTCATCAAGGTGGCAATACTTTTTGATCCTCCTGTGTGAGGCATAGTTTGCTTGGCCCTATTGCTTCTATTTGCTAGGGTACGTCTCTGTCATTGAAATATTAAAATGATATCTTATAAACTTTAAACAAAAATTGAGCATACCTAAAATCAGTTTAACTAGTTCTAAAGCTAAATAGAATATAAGTTATTTTATATATTAAAAGTATACTACTATAAATTAAAAAAGATAATATGATTGCGATGAAAACATCCATATAAAGTTTCAGTTAAAGACGACTAAAACAAAACATGACAAGAAAGAGACAGAGTAAATAAACTTAAAAAATTCAACAGATTATGCAAAGCGTAAAAGGGTGTGGACTTTTTTAACTATAAAACGATGATTGCAGTGACATATGGCTACTACATGGGGGCTAAATCAATATGGAATATTTTGCTATTTATAAACAGATCATAGTCATCATAGAACAAACATGTAAGCCAAAGATAACTTGCCAATTTTTAACATAATTATTCATAAACTTTTTAATAATGGACTTATTAAACTTATGTATTATACAAATATTTTAAGGCTGGACGTTCTGTGCGATGCAAACCAACTAACATGCAGACTTTGGCAAAAGAAAAAGGGAACAATGGAAACATTGTGGAGTAAATTCTCAATGTGATACAATAGTATAACAGCCCAGGATATAAAAGATGATCCGTTGGGTACGGTTCCAATGCCTCTATTCTTTATTATTTTCTAACATTATGGATATAATGTGAAATAGAAATTCCTGCTCCTTGATCACTATATATAAGAAATTTCAAACTATTGTGGAAGATACTCATTTTTGCGTAGATATACTGCCTATGGGTATGAACTAGTGTGTGTTGAATATTTAGTTGCGATAATCATGGTTCTGTAGTATTCATATGTTTGCATTTTTTAGATTAAATATGTTGATCCATAGTTTGTGTCTAATTAGGATGATATTGCTCAACAAGCAGAAACTGGAAAAGTTTACAAAGCCAACTACTTTGACAAGTATGGAAGGATTGTTCTTGTCATGAGGCCTGGAATACAGGTACATATATAATGAGAAGCAGTTCCCATAATGAGCTTCTGTCGACTCCGATATTGTAACTTCTATTTTTCTAATATCTTTTTATATTCTCCTGGCTCTTTCAGAACCCACACTCGGTAGAGAAGCAAATGAGATATTTAGTCTACTGCATGGAGAATGCCATACTGGATTTAAAATTTGGTCAGGAGCGAATGCTTTGGTTTATTGACTTTGAAGGGTGGAACATGTCAAGCATATCAGTAAAGGTGACTCGCGAAACAGCACGTGTACTACAAGATCGTTATCCAGAGAGGCTAGGTCTTGCAATCTTTTATAATCCGCCAAAAGTTTTTGAGTCCTGGATAGTAGGTGCCTCTAACTTTTAAATTTTCTCATTTCCATTTTTTTGTGCTAATTAACGGCAAAACAAGATTGCTCTTGTTTCATTACATTAGTAATGGGAGTTTAGCAGGACTGTGGCATGAGAAGAGAGTATTTCTGGATTGGGGTGCTAGGTATAATATCATATTAGGAGCAGCTCAGGGAGTTTAGCAGGACTGCTACAAGATTGCTCTTGCAGATTTTGGACTTGCAAAGCTCTTAAATACAGCATCAGATATTTCAAGAGCTTCAACCATAATAGCTGGTTCCTATGGATATATAGCTCCTGGTAAGTACATTTTATTAAAATTTTCATGCAAAAACATCATTCTTCTCTTGAAGAGGTCAAATTAGATATCTCATTATAACAGATATTTAGATATAACTTTGCTAAGTGCTAAACATTTTACATAATATTATGCTAGCACTCTTGAATATTAATTTTAAAAAACACTTTAAGCTCACTATATTAGTCTTGTACCCCGCGAAATGTGATGTGCACAGACGTATTGTGGGAATAAATAGGGTATGAGTACTAAATTTGGATAGCATTCTAAATGTTTTGGTCCTATATAGCAGAATATGGATATATCCTCAGAGTAACCGAGAAGAGTGATGTCTATAGCTACGGCATTGTGCTTCTTGAGGTCCTAACAGGGATGGAACCAACCGATTCCCGGATACCAGAAGGTGCCCACATTGTTACTTGGGTAAATCAGGAGCTAAGATTAAAACACAAGAAATTCACAACAATTCTTGATCAGCAATTACTTTTAAGGTCTGGTACACAAACACAAGAGATGCTTCAAGTTCTTGGGGTGGCACTACTTTGTGTTAATTCGTGCCCAGATGAAAGACCAACAATGAAGGATATAGCTGCAATGCTAACGGAAATTAGGCACGAAAATGAAGAGTTCGAGAAGCCTAATCATCTAGGAAAAGGGTCGGTATCGAATCCTAAAGCAGCAGTGCAATGTCCTAGTTTCTCTGTTTCATCTGAACCTCTCATCAGATCACCTCCTCAATAACAGCAATTAACTCAGCCTTTGTCCATGTCTAGCTAGTTGATTCTTTCTAGTTGACGCAACAACGAGTTAGGAACTGATTTACTGTAAATCAATCGACCAACATCAATCAAAAATCTACTGTAAATCGATTACAAGGAACTGATTTACTGTAAATTTACTGTAAATCGATTGGAAGAAGAGAAGTTAACACTACCCTTGACGCACTGTAAATCGATTTGAACTGATCTACTGTAAATCGATTGTAAATCTAAGAGAAGAGAATTTACCTAGGAAGAAGATGGCCACTGCTGTTTACACACTGTAAATCGCACTACCGTTGACGCGGTGGAGTTGACGCAGCAGCGTGTTAGGTTTTTTTGACGCAGCAGCGTGTTAGGTTTTTTTGACGCAGCAGCTAGATAGTTTCTTTTTTTTGGCAGCGATTCAACTGGGGAGGGAAACGAAATTAGTTCAATTGTTTTCTAATTGGGAGGGAAACGATGCAGCGATACAACTGGAGAGGGAAACGAAATTAGTTCTGTTATTTTTCTAATTTGGAGGGAATCGATAAAGGGTATACAAAAAAATTAGAGGGAAAAATGTTTCTCTTTTTTGTGCGGAGGAAAAGTTAAAATAATAAAAGATTAATTTTAATTAGTAATTTTTAGTGGCTATTATTTTTTATTGCCGGTAAAAGGATATCTTTTACTGGCTAATGGTCATATGCCGCTAATATTTAAGCTTAAAAAATTTATTAGCTACCATTGCCTTATTGTCGCTAAATAATTGCCGCCAAAGGCCTTTTTTGTAGTAGTGTTCATGATTTGTACTGCGTTTATTTGTTGCCCGGTTGGAAGGTTCTATGAGTGATAGCCCGTGTCTATCGTCTATTTTTATTCATTACTGAGAGTTAAGAGACTAGTATTAAATTCCTATTGTCCATTATGGTAAGCTTGATGTGATTTCTGAGTATTTTTGGTTACGAGCTATGACTTTTATTCTCCACCGGTGTGGGAGCCAGTACATGTTGTAGTTTTGTTGATGGAACTGATCTAGTGAAAGGATTCAGTTGGTTTGATATACACCTTACTTGTGATTCAGAGTTAAGGGCGGGACCCTCGTGATTTCATGTGATTTAATGTGCCGGGCTGCATGTCGTGGTTGAGAGTTATATCAGGATGAGATCTTGTGCTTTGTTCATATACTTGATTTTCTTTCCTTATAAATTGTTTCGTAGAATAGTACTGATAGAGAGTTGTGCCTGTCGCGCTTGTTTGATAGTTCTCTTATGTGTTTCTCTTTACATATTCAGTCACTTTTGTTCTGTGCTTCTTAAGTCTTAGGCATGACTTGATGCAGCTGGTTGAGACTGATATCGAATGTGGATTTGGAATCGGGTCTTTTAGAAATGAATGGAAGGTGAGGATTCTGGCTCTAAGGCTTATTGGTATTGGTAGAAAGGCTAAATTACGGTTGAGATGGTGTCGTCAGGTTTATGTGGATTGGGGTAACGTGGGATTGCCCGCGGGTGTATGTTTGAAGTGTACATTCAGCAATTTGATGACTTCGAGGCGAATCATGGCACGTTCGAGGATGAACGTTTGTTTTAAGAGGGGGAGGATGTAACGACCCGGCCGGTCATTTTGAGAATTAAAGCTTAGTTAAGCGGAATAAGGTCTTGAGAAGCTTCATATTATGTTTATCGACTTGTGTGCATGGTTGAATTCAGTTACCGGATGATTCAGAATCGAATTGGAAGACGAAATCTAGTTTCGAAAGCTTAAGCGGTGAGAATTTGACCGGAATGTGACTTTTGTGTAAACAGCTACAGAATGAGTTTTGGATGATGTCAGTAGCTTTGTATGGTGATTTTTTACTTAGGCACGCGTTCGGATTTGGAGTTGGGGGTCTGTAGGGTAATTTGAGGCATTTCGGCAAAAGTTAGAAAAGTTGAAGTTTGGAAAATAGAGAAGTTTGACCCATAGTTGACTTTTTTGATATCGGGGTTGGAATGCGATTCCGAGAGTTTGAGCGACTTTGTTATTTCATTTTGTACTTGTCTACGAAATTGGGCGCCATTCCGGGGTTGTTTGATTGGTTTCGGCACGAGTTTTCGAAGTTGGAAGAATTTGGAAGTTCATAGTTTGATTCATGACGCAGTTTGCATTTCCGGCGTTGTTTGATGTGATTTGAGACCCCGAGCGAGTCCGTGTTAGGTTCTAGAACTTGTTTGTGTGTTTCGACGGGGTCCCGGGGGCCTCGGGTGTGTTTCGGATGGGCTACGGACCAATTTCTTCTATTTTTGGATTGCCGGTTTCGGGTGTCTAATATCCTTCTTCGCGATCGCGAAGTCACTTCCGCGTTTGCGTACTGTCCCATCGATCTGCCATATGATTCTTCTTCGCGTTCACGTTCAGCCTCTCGCATTTGCGAGGGTTTGCCTTTTCCTTCTGCGCGTTCCCGTTCCCCATCTTGCGTTCGTGTACCAGAACCAGGCCCTGGGCGCGGGTGAGCACTTTCCTTTTCGCGTTTGCGTGTCTCGTACGCGTTCGCGTAGGTTCTCATTCTCTCTTCTTCGCGTTCGCATCCCTTCACACGCGTTCGCGATGGGCTTTCTTGGCAGCTTCATTTTTCTTCTTCGCGAACGTGTTTCCTCTTCCGCGTTCGCGATTCATAAGGACCTGGGCAGAATATAAGATCTTCAAATCGAGGGTTAGGCCATTTTTATCATATTTTGACTTGTAGAGCTCGATTTTGAGTGATTCTTTATGAGTTTTTCAAGCAATTCGGTTGGGTAAGTGTTCTTCACCTAGTATTTAATATATTCCATGACTTTATGTTCATTTTTATCATTTAATTTGTGTTTGGGGTTGAGGATAATGTTGGTTTTTGGAGAAAATTTCTAAAATGAATAATCATGATTTGAGGGACCAAATGGTGTCGGAATTTGATAATTTTTGCATGGTTGCACTCGTATCGGAATGGGTATTCAGTGTTTGTAAAATTTGTCGGGATCCGAGGTGCAGGCCTAGGGGTCGACTTTTGGACTGATTTTTGGATTTTATTAAAGATTGAGATTTTATGATCCAGATTAGTTTCTTATGAGTTTTATTTGTGCATTAAAGTCACTTTGGTTAGATTGGAGCCGTCCGGAGGTTTTTTTCACCCGAGAAGTTCATTTTAGAGTATTTGTTGTCATCTTCGAGGTAAGTATCTTGCCTTACCTTGTGTGGGGGACTTTTCCTTAGGATTTGAGTCTTCTATGTTGATTGTAATCCGTGTACTCGAGGTGGCGAGTGCATGCTCGGACTTATTTGTGAATAGTTGGACTTTTAGGGTTCTTAGGTCCTTATATTCACCGTGTATGAAGTTGTTCTTGATATGACTGAGTTCATATTTACTAGTTTCACATCCACATAGTTAAATTAGAATTAATTGCTTTAGAATTCACCCTTATTGCCTATTTGACTTAACTGAAGATTTTACCTCTTCTATTGTCATGCTATCTCTTCATAACTACGTATCTTTATTTGAAATTATCCTCATCTCCTCCTATAATTGTTTAGTCCTAATTGAGGTTATGATTACCTATCCTTTGTTTGTTTTAATTGAATTGTTAAATATTTTTCGTAATTTTGCAACCTTAAAAGAAGTCTAGATATCCCATGTTTAGATGACTTGCCCTTATTTGGAACTAGTTGACTCGTGTTAGTTTTTCCTTGTTGCCGAACTGTATATTGTGGAATCGTTGTGGCATATTAGTTCGTGCCTTGTTGAACTATTTTCTTTACGCTTAACATTCTTTTAATGTGATTATTCCTTGTGAATGAGTTCTACTGTTTCTTTGTGATTTAAAGTTCTTGAGTGGTTTACTTTTCGCACTTTATATTATTGCAATTGTTACTGTTGTACTCGTTGTGGTGATGCACGAGGTTTATGTTGTGCTGTAACTGTTATCTCTGTTGGTTGCCCTGCATATTTACTTTGGGACTACGGAACGGTATTCCGGGAGACCCCCCTGCATATTTACTTTGAGACTACGGAACGGTGTTCCGAGAGATTCCCCAGCACTGCATATTTACTTTAGGACTACGGAACGGTATTTCGGGAGATCCCCCTGCACAATTACATTTTGGACTACGGGACGGTATCCTGGGAGATCCCCTGTTGTTATATCTGTGTTCTGAGCTGCTAATCTTCCATGCTTACATTCTTTTAAACATTCTATGTGATGTTCGTTCTTTTCCTTATGCTTACTAGCTGGTATGAACTATATTAGGACACTTGCACAGGTATACATGCAGCTAAGCACCCTTATCGGATAAGAGGTTTTCTGGATATTCCTGAGTATAGATACACACCCTTGTTTACTTGCCTTCCACGTGGGAATGGCTCTATTTCGCACGTGAGTCGTCAGTGCGGTTATGAGGTGTGATGAGATCACAGGATGCCAAGTGTTAGGGGTTCAGGTATTGAGACCCGTATTGTATGATTACGAGATAAGGTGTCACAAGATGACTTATATTCGAAGGTTAGTATTTGAAAAGATTATATTCGAAAAGTATTTATTTTGAAAGAACTATGTTTGAAAGATATTTATTTGAAGGAATTATATTATAAAATATCTTTATTGGAAAAGATTAAATTTCTAAAAATTTCTATTCGAAAACTTAGGTGAAAGATTTATACTTGAAGGTTTTGTTAATTGATTGGAGTTTGTTGGCTAAGACCTGATGTGAAAATTGCTTTAGTTGCTGAGTTATTACTTGTCTTTACTGTATTTGTGATTTTGGATTTGGGTTGTGTTTCCGTTCACTCTTCTGTGTACTTATTATGGTGTTTCGTTGTATTTGTTATTCTTTTCCTTATTGCAATTACTGTATTGTTAGTCATATCGTGTAGTCATTAGAAAGAAATCATGCACTATTGTTCCTATACTTATATTTGTTTTGTTTATTAGACCAGTGGGTTTCTTGACTTTTCCTCGTCACCGCTCTATCGAGGTTAGTCTTGATACTTACTGGACACTGCTATGGTGTGCCCATACTACAATTCTGTACATTTTTTTTTCTGCAGATCCAGGTATTGATAGTTAGTAGCTGTGCGGATTCTTGCCGAGGAGACTCAAGGAAATCCTGCTGCTGCGTTCACAGACGGAGTCACCTTCCTATTTTGTATTCACACTGTTGTATTTATTTCCATACAATTGTGTTTAGTAGTTGTAGTGAAACTCTGTAGAGCTTATGACTTGTACCGCCAGTTTTGGTGTAATTATATAAAGATTACTATGCTGAGACTGTTAGACTTTCTTTATTATGGTTGATATTCAGTAAGTGTTAGGCTTACCTAGTTCCTAAGACTAGGTGCCATCACGAAACCCAACGGAGGGAAAAATTTATCGTGACAGTTTTATTAACTCTTAATGAAATTTGTAGCTCGTATAAGTGGGGTGTTATAGTTAGAGGAGCACCCTTAACATATATCACCTATGTGAGTGTGGAAGTAGGCCGCTTCCTATGAGAATTAGGCTTATTCAAAAAAATACTCATAAAAACCGGGATAGCACAAGGCCGTAATGTGCTGGCTAATAAAGCTTTTGTCAACACCTTGATTATTATGTGTAAGCAGTTATTCTTTATTTCCCTAAAGCAGTCATAGTTCAAGTCTGAGACCACTATTGACTCTGGAGTAGAGATCGTTGTTTTACTAAGTAGAGGTTCAATGCAGAGCAGATCTTCATTATGCATAATAGTTTCCCTTTAACCGGTAAACTCTCTTATTTTAATATTAAAATGAGTGGGAGAATGTTGGTGTTAGTACATTTTAATATTAAAATTATAGTATTAAATTACATAACTTGCGGGTGGCGTACCACCCCGTCCCTTACACATAGATCCGCCCCTGGTATACTGCCGGATTGGTGAAGATGCTACCGTAGTGGGCTTGAATCTCCTTAAAGAGAGCGAGATATCCGCGTCTCAACCGGAAGATGTTTTATTTTCTTCACTTTATTTTCAACTGTAATAGTATTTTCACCAAGATCATGAAATAAAGCACGAATACAACAATATTGAAATGGATTTGACAAGGAAAATTAAACAAACACACTACAAATAACATGTTTTATCATGCAGAAAGCAGTCATTATATTGTTGCACTTTACAAATATGTCTTAATTAATTAGCTTCCATCATCTAGTTGCTTATCAAATTCTTGCTATAGATCAAAGCAAATAAGATCAAGCGTGCAATGGCACATTTCTGAAATTGGTCATGTTCACTTGGGGAAGATGGAGTTGTTGAGGGAGAAGAGAGTACTTGATGTTAAGGCTCTCAAAGATCTTCTTCAACTCAAGGATGAGCTCTGTGATCCTGTTGCTTCTATCCCCGTAATTCTGATGGTTAATGGTATGCTGAACACATAGAGCCATTCCCATTGTGTGCACATTCTCTATTCCTTTCACTATCACTGAGTGTTTTGGATTCCAATACTTTGGCTTGCTCTCTATGTACCTATATATTTTCATTAAACACAAACACATGATCATTATGTTGATTTGAGGAGTTATATAAATGAACTTGAATTATTCCAAAAAAACAAAAAGAAAAAGAAAAGGATTTGTAGTCGTCCTAGGCAATGGTGCTTCTAAACATCAGGTTTGGTTCAGTTCTGGGATTATAATTCTTGGATATCCCAGGAAATAATTTAGTCCCACATTCTATATGGGATAGCTAATATCATTATTTTGATGAAATATTTATACCGGTATTAGCAAATACCCACAACCAAATGCGGAATAACTATAAACCCTAATTTTATATCAGGATTAATATCCTTATCCTGTCAACCAAACGACCACCTAATGTTTAGGATATTTAAAATCACACAGTCTGGGATCGAGAAAACAAGAAAATATTAATCAGGTTAACTAATAGATAACTATCTATAAAGAGTAGGATTAGTAGCCTGAAAAATAAGACAAGTTTAGAGGCGAATATAGCTAGTTTTCTTGAGTTTAGCTGAACCAATATTTCAACATTGAACATTGATATATAGGTAAAAAAATCACAAAATTGCACCCAATAACCTAGTGGTCAATAAAGTAACTAAAAATCCATGAGGTCTTATATTCAAATTTCAGGGCACACAAAAAAATAATAGGTAATTTCTTATTATCTGCCCAAGCTTTATAAATAAAATTACCTGATATTATGTTGGTGGGTCATAGGTGTGTCTGCCGAAAAATAAATTCTTAATTAAATAAAGGAACGTGGGGTGGGGCACAAGAGTTCTTACATTTGAATGGCCTTTTTGAGGTTAATGATGGTGTCCATAGAAGTGTTGGTATCAATATCAAAAGAAATGGAGTCGCACATTTCAGGGCTTCTGTAGAAGTTGCTAATTGGCTTTGTGATCAACACTGCATTGGGGTAGTAGATTTTCTCGTTGTCGTAACGAAGGAAAACTGTGGTCAATATATTCATCTCTTCCACTATCAGCTGCATATAAAAAATTTAAATTAAAGCAAATTAATTGGAACGAAGAAATTGACATATGTCAATAAATTAAAATTAATTGTAACATATTTGCGCCAAGAATCAATATTCCACTAGCTAGCTAGTGTTGCAAATATTGACATGAAAACTGTCATTGTTATTAAAAATTAAATCTAGATAGAAGCACCTTCTTCACAAATCAATACCTAAAAAAATAATTAAAAAACAAAAGGAAACCAAAGGGTATGGTGTTCTCTAAAAATAAGACAGATTATTTGCTACAATATAGTAAAATTATACGTGGATATTTTGGAAGTTCTTTACCCTGCATGTGTCGATCGTTTTATATAAGAAGGTTAATAATTAGTGTTGAGTAATATTAAAAAATAAAGATATATACCTGAACTCCATCGATAACACAACGATCACCAATGTCAAAAGGATGGACAACAAAGACGAAGATAATAGATTCGAAGATAGTCTTGCAAGTGTTTTGGAAGGCAAATCCGAGAAGTACAAGTTGTGAAAGAAGGAGAGCAAGGATTTGTGTGGACAAAAGTCCCATCACTAAGAGTGAAATCACAAGTATTATAAAACCCACTATCCCACTTGCTAACTTGTGAAGCTGTTGCACCGCCGTCTTTGTATCATTTAATGAATGTGCCAAGTACTTCCTCTCATAGTATGCTCGTACCTAACAATAAATCCCAAGAAAAGAAAAAAAAAACTTAAATCAAAAGATGCTAGTCTTTGAATTACAATTCATAAAGAATCTTCACATCACGTTTTAGCATGTAGGTTACTATTTAATTTATAGGTGATTACTTAGTAAATTATTTAGGTGATTTGATATATGTGGAACTCTTTATTCTACATTGACCGTGTATACAAGTTAAATCAAAAGATTATAAACGTTGTGTGTAGTATATTGTATATATAATTACCACCCAATTTCTGAAGGCAGATTTGGTGATCCTTCCAGTCTCAAGAGCTCCTTCAAAAAGTGGGAAAATGGTGTGTATCTCTACTCTATTCAGGAACCTCATTAAATCTTCCTCCTCTATGTACCTTCACAATAAAAATATAAAATTAATTCCCATATGTTGATGTTGCATCTCATTAGTTATGTTACGCGGCGCCTTCCTGAGATTCCTTGGAAGGGCGACGTAAGGCTAGGCAACTGATGTCAGTGCAATTGCTGTCCGCAAACTGAGGTCCCCTCCGTACGCTAGACGAGATTGTCAGTGCCGTACGGAAAAACCAATGTCAAGAGCAATTGAGAGAACCGAAGTGAGAATTCAGAATGAAAGAAAGCTTGATTGCATTAATGAAAGCTATTACAGAAAAGCAACGCGGTGTCGGGGGGGGGGGGGGGAAGAGACACCAGTACAGAGAATTGCTTGCTTGCTAGAAAGTTTTGATTGCTTGATCCCCCCTAATAGTACTTAAAAAAAATAATCCAAAGTTACAAGACTAGACTTGACTAAGCTAGAGAAACATAATGGAAGTACATGAAATAAAACTACTCTATATTTACAATGAAAATGACTTAGTTTTCTATAAGGCAGCAGCAGGTCCGTTGTCAGCAGCAGTGTCTTTGGCAACACGGTCTGCGCGCGCGGCGTTGTCTGCGCGCACGGCGCTGCTGGCTTCTGCCTGCGACTTGGCGCTCGCGAGGGATATCGGTGGGGCGACAGAGGCACCTGCGCGCTTGTCACTTGGCGCGGCCAAGACCACGGGGCCGTCCGTGGTGCTAGGCATTGGGAGGTTCGCTAGGACGCCACGGGGCGCGCCCAAGGGGTCGTGGGGCATGGCTGGAAAGCCGCCCATGACAGTTATCATGCTGTCTTTTGGGTGAAAAGTGAAACTTAATTCTAATACATACATATTATTACATCCAATCTGTACTCCATATAATTAGCGAAGTTATAAATATATTCTGTTGGGCTTTTCTGTTTATACTTAATTAGATAGAGTAGGGGGATTTGCATCTATACCCGCTTTTTGGGTCACGTTTTAACTTGTGCCCGCTTTGCAAAAAAATTGCAAGCGTACCCACTTTTTCGCGTAACTTCAGCATACGGGGCTGAAGTAGCAAATGCAATCACGCAGAACTTCAGCATTCTAGTAGACGGGGCTGAAGTTTTTTTATCCTGCATAAGATGCTGAAGTTATTTAGTTCATTTGTAAAAACTTCAGCACTATATAAGCTGAAGTTTTTTTGTCCTGGATTCATTAGTTTTGTCATAAAGCTTTTTCAAAAACTTCAGCAGAAGATGCTGAAGTTATTTAGTTCATTTATAAAAACTTCAGCACTATATAAGCTGAAGTTTTTGAAAAAGCTTTCTAACATACTAGATAAATAATCACCTTATTCTTTCATAGTGTATTACTATTATAAAATAATCAGATTGCCAACAATATCTAAATCATAAATTTTGGAAACAATAAACGTGAAAAGAACATAATTACGTGAAAATATTCACAAATTATTGTCTACTAACGTAATTATTTATAATTTGTTTTTAAAGAATATGAAAAATATACTTATGGCAATCATCCCATGAACTGAAGTTTCATAGCAGCACCAACAGCAGCAGAAGAAAGAAGAAGAAGAAAAAAATGAAGGAGGAGAAGGAGGAGGAGAAAGGGGGCTGAAGTTGTTTAAAAAGTGGGTACAAGTTAAAACTTTTTAAAAAATGGGTATAGGTTAAATGCGGGCGACCAAATAGGACGCCCCGTGCAATTTTTACGATAGAGTAACGTTAAGACTTGAGAGTGACCATGCAGAGATTTGACCCTACAATTATATACATTCAAATAATATATACTCATTATGTTTCAATTTAGATGACATATTTCGCTTATCGAACGTTAATTTGATTAAATGTTGAAGTTAAATTAAATTAGATCTAATTAAAATTTGGATATTTAATACTACTCGAAAAGTAATATAAGTTCCAATTTTCTCATGTCACTATAACAACAAAATGTATTTTAAAATATTTGTCAAACTTCACACAATTTAACTTTCGATAAGCGAAATAAGTCATCTAAATTGAATTGGAGGAAATAGCACTTTAATAATACATACATACATACATATATATATATATATATACATACATACATACATATATATATATACATACATACATATATATATATATATATATATTTGTATTATTTGCCCTTGGATCTTGATGGATATCATGTCTGAACTACAGAGACATCAAGACAGTTGTCAACTTTCAATTCTTAGTATTTGCTGTTGGGAATTCTATTAGTCTTTCTCTCTGTTTATGTGATATATTGATTCTGTGTGGAGTCTACTTACGTGCTCAACTTGACTTTTCTATTATATTAGTAGTTAATAATTATTGAGAAATCAGTATATGTACTATATTGGAAATTAGTATAATATCCAAATCTTAAATACACTGATTTTAAAAGAAAAAAGTTAATCAAGGTAAGGAGTATAAAATAAGAAATTAGTGGAACTGAGCCACGCTTAAATATCAAATTAAAACGATGTCATACAAATCGGGATATATAAAGTAACATGGCATGTTTTTCAAAATTTAAATTCAGTTAGATAGTTAAATTTGAAGTGTAAGGTGATACTCTTTTAATCAAATTAGAGTTCAACAACTACCACTTATATAATACACAAATTGAGTAACGTCTTAAATTTCGTGCTCAGTTATATTAATATATACATATATATGTTTTAAGTTAGAAATGAAGTTGGATAACAAATAACATGCGCAACAATTATGCTCGGACTATGAGCATATGCCTCCTCCACGTATTGTATTTACTGATTCTTTTTTAATGGACGAAAAGAAAAGTATGGAATCACAGATGACTCGCTTTGACCTTAACTAAGGTGGTCCTTCCTAGCAAAAAAATTAATGGTTGGCAGGCATGTTGAAACGGACTTTACTCCCCAACCAATTAACAGCAAGACCCCCTAATTAGGAAATGTCTATTCAAACTTTAGTGCGTTTGGTACGACGAAAAGCATGAAAAATATGTATTTTCAAGTATATTTTTGTTCAAAAAATATTTTAAATGATCTAATTGTGAAAGAAAAACTTTATAGTACTAATTAACCTCTAATGATTGATTGTTATTGTGTGTGTGTTACACATACAAAATCTCTAGAATACTTACTTGGCACCAGGATTGGCAACGTTCTTGAAGATCTTTTTGGCACAATTTCTAGCCTCCAATTCACTTGTAATCTCAGATTCAGTGTTTCCGAATTCATCTACACTCTTAGAAATAGTTGACAAACCAAAGAACCTTACATAATTAGCCAATCTCTTCACACTCCATGCAGATGACTTTCTTTGCATACTCAGCTTCTTTAGCTTCGATAATTTCCTCGGTTCTTTCACTTCTACCACTTTTTCATCAACTGGAGGACGAGAAAGTGTGTCCAGGACATAGTGATGAAAAACACTTTCCTTCATACGATCAAAGTAAGTTGCAACAAAAAACGACGAGGCTAAAACTTTGACCAAAATGATCTTAACGGGCCAAATTGTTGCACCAATAAGTAAGGCCACTAAAGCTTCACGTAATTTTGTTAACATCTTGTTTTGTTTGTTGAGTTTTGTGTTGAACATGAAAGTCAAAGCTAAAAGGACAAGACCTAACCAAACACAATTTTGGAAGCTCTTTCTAAGACCATAGACAAAATATAAGACCTTTTCACGAAGCATGAAGTTTCTCTCGATGAGAAAAACGAGGAATCTAATTACGCAACTTGAAACAAGGCGACCACTGAATATGACAAGGATCACTAAGCACCATTTCCACAAGTCAAGACCCCATAAGGGATTGTTCCTAAGAGGTGAAATTGTGAGAGCACATATTAAACAAGAGGTTGTGATTAAAAAAAAGCACCACTCAAACAAAAGTCCAAAAGGGATTTTTGTCGTCTTCTTTCTACACTTTTCTTTAGTAATCCCAATTCCTTCGTCATTTTCATGTTCTTCATCACTATCTCCATCCTTTTCACAGGGCTTGAAGGACTCGAATTCGTCGTCTAAGTTGAAAGATTTTTGCTTCATTGGAACACTATTGAACTCAAAGACTCGAGCTTTGGGTTTTGAGAAAGTGAGGCGACGTAGAGTTTGAAATTTTGTAGGAATTCGGGTAAGTTTTGTTTCTGCCATGTAATTAGCATCATTGGTGCTCCTAGGTTGTGAATTATTGTTCTTGTGATCTTCTTCATCCATGAACAGAATCACATGATCAGAGGCTGGTTTCTCCATCTTTTTTATTTTATTTGAGGTACGTACTTCACTTAGTTTCATCATCGTCCTATCTCCCTTATATAGAATGTGAATGTGTCATCAAACATTAAGGTGACGTTCCACTTTCCACATAAAACTAATTAGCCGAAATCATCATTATAATGTTTGGTTTGTATTTTCTTTTTCGCATAATTAATACCCGCACAATTATAGAAAAATATACGTATTATTTTATGTTGTATATAATATGGAATAAAAATGTAGTGATCAGCTATACATGGATTAAAATTACAAAATGACAAAACTAACTCTCCAGGTAGATCAATATTATATTTTGGTAAAAAGATACTTAAAACTTATTTTAAAATACATACAATGTATTATAATTTTTAGTAGAATATACCAAATATCTAATAATAAATAATTTTTGTATTATTAATTCTGCATTACTGCTACCAAACCAAACTAACCCTAAACGAAGTATAATGTTGTTTTGTTTACTTCCAACCAAGTGTCGCTTGTGGTACAATAGCATTGGGCCCCATAACTTGCAGGCGCGTTAGCTTACCTCTTAATCCTATACTGAAGGACGCATAGAACATACTAGATGGATATCTCGATTTCATTCGGACAATAGATTTAATGTTATACTCCTTTCGGTCCACAATAAATGATTTTTTGACCTTTTTATGTGGTCCAAAATAAGTGATTTTTTTCAAATTTCAAGAATGAATTAATTATTTTTTTTCCTATATTGTCCTTGGAGTAAATAATGTTGGAATATATGTTAGAAGTATTTATGTAAAGAGATAGTAAAGGTTAATATAATCAATTTTATTGCTAATCAATGTTAAAACGTAAATTCGTTAATATGTGTGAAAACAACCAAAAATTTACTTATTTTGGACCGGAGGGAGTAATCTTGGAAATTAGTTGGACTATGTTCTTTCAGCCTGTTGCGGCAGAGGCCTGTCAAAAGGAAATTCGGCGAAGATGTAGACCACCGTGCATTAATTTCCTTCTCAATTATTTTATTTTATTATACGAGTTTGAATTTGCTCACATTTCATCAATAATGAATTCTTGTCTTGAGAAAGATTATATACGTGACATGGACGTCCAACTCAACTTGGTCCATCAGTTGGCCCACCTAATAAATGGGCATTCTTGATATATCGATCTTAAATTTAAATGAAAAAAAATTATGGTTGGCTCACAATCATCATAAAATTAACTAATACATAAATTCTCACAATACAAAAATCATTATAATAATAAATATGGTCAGATTCCCAAACTTATCTGAATTCAAAACGTTACTATTGTTATAAAGTGATTTTGGCAAGTGCTTGGTACGTGGGGCATATATGAAATGAGAAATATTGTGCAAGTTCAATTGTTAAAATGATCATAGTTTGGACGTTTCTTCCAAATGGTGGGTTGATCATTTAGCCTACAGCTTTCTAGAAAAATTTTATTTTGTAAAAAAAGTCACTCGAAGCTCCTCTCCTTAGAGTCAAGTGGCTTTCAGTTCCTCTGGCGCGCCCTAGCCGAGCGGTCCTCGCCAGTGGCGAAGCCACGTGGCGTTAAGGGTGGTCAATTGACCACCCTTCGTTAAAAAATTGCACTGTGTACATAGGTAAAATATTACGTTTTAGAAGTATATAACACATATTGAACACCCTTTGTCAGAAAATTTTTTCACTTCTTTTAAATTTGGACACCCTTAAAAAAATTTCTAGCCCCGCCACTGGTCCTCGCCTGCACAAGCTTCACACAACTGACACTAATTATGTGAGACCTCTTTTTTTGTCTCACAACTGTTTGGTCCCAGAATTTTATAGACTCAAATGTGTAGGGTCCACAAATATGTGAAATAAAAAGAGGTCTCGCACAACTAATGTAAATTGTGTGAGGCACAAAATAAAATCACTCAGCTTTCTACGTTAAATGATGATATCAAAGACCAATCACTTCGAAGAAACACTTAAGTGGCTCATTTGTGCTTTCGGACAAGAGTCACGATTCAACTCCTATAACTGTACCATTATTTAGCTCACGGTACAGCTTTGAGTAGACATGGCAATGGGGCCGGCGATTACGGTGCGGATTAGCCATAACCCACAAAGAGTTCAATTCTCACCGTGCCTCATCGCATAGCAAAATATTCTATTTTCAACCCGTTCCGCTTCGCAAAGCAAAAATTTTTTTTTTCATTTTTATTTTTAACGAGTAGTTTCTCTTTGAATTTTGTTATTTAGAAAAAAAAATTAGAAATGGGTTATGGCATTCTTTTCTCTTTTTCTTGGACGTTCCAGCTATGCCAATAATGTATGCCATATGCTACTGGCTGTCTACTACCAAGAAAGTTTGCCTTCTCATTTAGCCAAGTGGCTAGTAATATAAAGCCACTTGGCAATTTAGGATAATATTTATTATAGTATTTAATTTAAATTGGAAGATAGGATATTTCTTTAATTTAAATAGAAAGATAGTAAATAAGATTCTTTTGGATCTAAATGGAAAGAAAGTTAAATTTGAATTGATTGTTTAATTAATTAGGAAAGCTAATCAAAACATAAATATTCCAATTCAAATGAGAAGCTCAATGAGCGAATTGTTCTAAATAATAAGAAAGAGTTTTCTGAAAATTTTCACAACAAAAAAGACATAAAAAATAAAAAAGTGTTTGTTACTAGAAATAAAACTAAAAAATCTAGGTTTGAACCCGTAATCATAATTACCGAGTTGTTGGATCAAAACTTAACTTTCGTAACTACCTTAGTAGATCAATAACATTCAGTTCCCTGTGCCTTAAGACGTTAATGCAATAAATTTAAGTATAGCAAATATGAAATTAAGATTTATATTATATTAGTAGTGATAATAAAAGAGTGAAAATATGAATTAAAGCATCAATTGTATGGTGATTAATAAAGGAAAATTTACTTTGGTGATTGCGCACTTTCTTCATCAATCAGTAAACTCATTGTTCAGATATATATATATATATANTCATCAATCAGTAAACTCAATGTTCAAATCAATTAAAGGAATAATGTGCATTTGTGGCTAAGCTAAATATTATTATAAATATAACCACCTACCCTATCTTAACTAATAAAGTTTTGACCACAAAAAAATTGAACTGAAAGACAATTTAGGATAATATTTAATGTTTAATTTAAGTTAAAATTAAAAGATAATTTTTTTTAACTTAAATGGAAAGATAGTAAATAAGATTATTTTGAATCTGAATGGAAAGAAAGAATAATAGTCTTATAACGATATAACCAACTATCCTATTTTAACTAATACATTTTTTACCACAAGAAAATATTGAGCTGAAAGATAAAAATAACACCCTTATCTTAACTCATTATAAAAATAAATATGGAGGTATTATCAACACATACTACGAGTACCACTACTGCATTCAGCTAAAATATAAATTAAAGAAAATAAATAAATGATACTCAAAACTATTATAGATAAATTTAAATATTAATTTGAGCAGTAGAATAAAAAGTAGTGAATATAATTTTTATTACAAGAAAAAGAAAAACTAAATTCATTTACTAATGGGAGTTGTGGGCAATGATACAAACAACTCTAACTTATGGGTAATGCAATAACATGAACAAGGAATCAAAAAAGAAGAAAAAAATATAAATAAATAATAATCTCAATAGCAGATGTACATAGAATAATAAGATTTATTTGATCTTTGAGAAGAGAATGTTTCTAAAATAATAATGATATAATTCATATTATATGAATGAGATACACGTATTTAAAATCGTTATAATAGATAAAACTAAAAAAACACAGACATTTGAAATAATTCCAATAAACAAATTAAAAATATTTAAATATAATTTAAATTCTTATGTAACGATCCGACCGGTCGTTTTGAGCTCTAGCACGTCGAATAGAGGTTTGAGGCCATGAGCAGCTTCAATTAAGGTATTATGACTTGTACGCGTGGTCGGAATTAAATTTCGGGAAGTTCGGAGTTGATTTGGAAAGAAATTCTCATTTCGGAAGCTTTATGTTGAAAGAATTGACTAAGGTTTGATTTTTGAGTAAACGACCTCGGAATCGAAATTTGAAGGTTCCACAGGTTCGTATGATAATTTCGGACTTGGGCATATGTCCGAATCGGATTTTGGATGACCCAGGAGCGTTCCGGCACCTATTGCGGAAGTTAGCATTTTTGGAAGAATTTCATAAATTTGGGTTGAAGTGCATTTCAATGTTATCGGTGTCCGTTTGGGATTTCGAGCCTGGGAATAGCTCCGTGTGGTGATTCTGGTATTGGGGGCGCGTCCGGAAGTGGATTCAGAGGTCCGTAAATTATTTTGGAGTCGTTTGGCTAAAGTTAGAAATTCGAAGGCTTTTGAGAAGTTTGACTGGGAGTGAACTTTTTGATATCGGGGTCAGAATCCTATTTCGGAAGTTGGAGTAGGTCCATAATGTCGAATATGACTTGTGTTCAAAATTTGAAGTCAATCGGACGTGATTTGATAGGTTTCGGCATCGAATGTAGAAGTTTAAAGTTCTAAATTTCATTAAGCTTGAATTGGGGTGTGATTCATGATTTCGATGTTGTTTGATGTGATTTAAGGCCTCGAGCAGGTCCGTGTTATGTTGTGGGACTAGTTTGTGTGATTGGACAGGGCCCCGGGGGCCTCGGGTGTGTTTCGAGGTGGTTTCGGATCATTTCGGGCTGTTTTGCTATAGCTGATGCTGGTGTCTCGTGTTGTTCTTCGCATTCGCAAAGAAGGATTTGGCTTCAGGGATTTTGTTCTTCGCGTTCGCGAAGAAGAAAATCTCTGTTATGCAGGTTTGGCTTCGGAGGCTCATATCTCACAAACTATAAGGAATTTGGAGATGTTTTTGAAAGTTGTAGCTCTTTGTGTCTAGTTTTTAGAAAGGTAAACCATTTAACATCTGAATTTATGTACAAAAAGTTATGGCTGGTTCACTACAGGCTGTCCGGGAAGATGAAGAAGAAATTTGTGTTGCACAGGGCTGACTTAGCAGCTTATATCTCAAAATCTATAAGGGATGACCAAAACATA